GGAGATGTCACAACAGGCACAACGTACTTTGAAGGCATTGCGTCCATAATTATATCACATTTACAAGCTTGTTCGCAAACAGCATCCGGTTTTGTTTTACATAGAGAGCATTTTTTTAGGCACAACAGTACCTACTGCTCAGCCCGTCTGTTCGAGGTCTTAGAAAGCTGTTAGGGATATGGGTATGAAGCTTACGCTGTGGAGCACGGTTTAAAGTATAATGTAACTAAAAGCGACTTAATGGTTTTCAAGGGAAGAACAAAGGCCCTACTCATGTACCATTGCTGTTGCTAAACGGAATGGCTATAAAACGTGATGCACAGTTTCTTGGGCACATTCTGACTGAAGATTGAATGGATGATGAGGATATCTAGAGGGAGCGCAGGGCGTTATAGGCTCGTGAACATGCTGGCACATATATTCACCTGTTGTACTGTCAATGTTAAACCAACGCTATTCAAAGCATATTGTCAGACTTTTGCCAGAGTTTTTACCTCCATCCTCCAAGATTTTAAACACATGTGGTCTATGGGTCAGGTTCACAAAGCGGGCCTACAATTCCCTGCCAGTTCAATAGAACAACGCCTTCAGGATTCTATTGAGGCGTCCCCGTTTCTGTAATGCTTCGGGCGTGTTTGCCGATGCACACATGGGTGACTTCCGTGCAGTTATGTGGAAGAAAACCGCGTTTATTACAAATACGGGGAAGGGACAATGCAATCCAGAAGATGACAGCAAATAGAACTGACTCGGCTATCCTCAGACGATTAACTTCCTTGCATATAATAAAATAACGCACATAACGCACATACTCAACATAGCCCCGCACTAGGGAAACCCTATGTCGCGGGTGCCATGGACACACACATAGACAAACACAAATTACACCCAAACTCACGAGAGAAATAAATATAGGCCATACAAATATTTCTCCCGGCCCGGGAATCGAACCTGGGACCTCTGCGTGGCAATCTGGCATGGTAACCGTTCGGCCACAGAGGCAGTATAATAAAATAGTTATATTGCTACACTTTCAATTAGTCATTATTATATTATTAATATAATTTTAAGTATTTGTATTACTAACTCCCTATGGATTAATTGATCTGAAAATATCGGACTTTTATTTATTTAATAGTTTAGACGTTATATCTGTAACACAATTTATTTTAAATTGTGTAAGTACGTACGTACAAGAAATACATACTGTATCATATGCCACGCCCCGTAGACAATTTGTAGAAAAGTAGATATTATATTTTCTCAGAGTAAAATCCATCCTTTAGGATTAAAGGCTCTCTGCTCGAGCTAAACTTACTTTCAAAATATCGCTCTACCCTACCTTTATTTATTTTTTTCCATTAAACATCCTATATCCCATTCACGAGTCTTTTACTTGCGTTTTTCGCTTGCTTGCGTGACTCGCTTCGCGCATACGCAAAGATCTGTCGCGTACGCGCAGGCAGGACCGATCACGACTATTCACGAGTCGCTCGCTTGCGCCGGCGCAGTGGGCCCAAATTGATAATTCTTGGACATAGGAATAACTTGTGGAGCATCGAGCTCATTTTTAAGGAGAAATAAACATTTCATTTTTTTCTCGAAATGTAGGAAAATCTCATTGTGGTTTATTTGCAACATAGGTCTAATCATTCTCTATCAAGAAAAAATAATCCATCTGCAGGTACTTGCGGCTTTATGAGTAAAAAGTTGTCAAATTTTAGATTTATTATTTATTTTTTAACACAATATACTAGTTTCTACTTAACTTTCATTTATTGTTATAACACTCTCTAAATTACACTAAGATTAATTTTTCTTTAGTCGAAGCTCATGTATTTTGTTAAAAAAGTACATAAAAGAGTTAGCAATATAATAAAAGTTGTTAAGGAATGTTATTATCTATCATAAAAAAAAAATAGCTCAATAAATAATAAATAAAAATAAAAATCATTTATTTCGAACCGTAGTCCATAGTATTAGTAACAAGTAACCTTATATACTATGTTAGTAACAGCATATTTATGACAGAATTATCTATAATAAACAAAAGGAAACAAGGCACCACTACGGCACATAATGATTGTACGTGACAGCGGTGTCCTTAGTTATGTGAACGCGCGTCCAGTGCTGCATTACAGCACTGTCCACGTGCAGTCTATCTGCTACTGTCCGCAGGAGACCGTTGGAGCTGCCCCGCACCCTCTGTAACAGGGATGTGATACGTTTTCTGATGAGGGATTTCTTTCCATGCACGACCGGACTTGTGTTTGGTACAGCTGAAGCAACTGTCCCGGTGTAAAGTAACGCCTCACCCTGGAAAGGATGCCAAGCATCCTTGCTGCATTTTTGGTCATGGATTCAATGTATCTGCCGAAGTTCAAATTGAACGACAGGTCCATTCCAAGTAGCAGGAGGCAGTCGGCTACCAGTATGGATATACAACGAAAAGTCGGAGTCAGCTCGAAGTGACTCCGTTTTATGGAGAATAGACACGCCTGAGTTTTGGTAGCGTTAAATTTGACAATTTGGCATCGCCCCAATCGGAGACTGCCTGGAGTGTCAAATCTAAACGGCTAACCATGGACTCTCGACAAGACTGGATTTCCTCTCCACTGACCCTTGCATTGGTCAAGTACATGTCTACAACTGTGCTGTCATCAGCAACTCCTCCCAACGCCAACATCAGGAACACCGGCTATATCTATCGCCATATGTTCGGAAGTGTAGCCTTCTAAGACCACTCGAATCGAACGTTCACTCAAGAAATCCTAGATCCAATTGCAAAGGTCAGTGGGAAGCCCATAAGAGGGAAGCTTACTTAAAAGGCATGCGTGCCAGACCCTGTCAAAGGCTTTAGAAATGTCCAACGACACTGCACGTGCTTCGCCTTGCTTTTCTATAGCCTCGCTCCATATGTGACAGGCATACACAAGATCCCCAGTAGATCGCCCTCGTTGGAATGCGTACTGGCGATCACTGAGGAGGTCGTTGTCTTCAAGGTACGACAGGAGACGGTTGTTGAGTACGCGTTCCATAGTCTTGCTAGTATGGAAGTGACTGAGATTAATCTATAGTTGACAGGGTAGCTTTGCTTCCCTTTTTCGGCACAGGTTGCACGTTTGCAAGCTTCCACGACCTGGGAACTACACCAGTCTCAAGTGAGAGGTGGTACAGGCGTAGGCGTGTGAGAACAGGAGACAACTCAGGCGCACAGTTACGTAGGACTATTGCTGGAATTCTATCTGGCCCGCTAGCTTTATTCACGTCTAGATTTCGCAGAGTTCTAAGTACCTCTTTTTGCTTCGAACTGGCGCCATGGTGCAGCCAGCCTGAGATAAAGTAGGTGGTAGGTTCCCTGCGGCATCCAGACGCGAACTCTCTGCAAAGAGTGAGGCAAAAAGATTCGCCTTCTCTTCCGCAATATGAGCCAGTGAGCCATCCTGCCTCAGCAGAGGTGGCAGAGATGGGCGACATAAGTTAGATTCGACCGCTTTGACCAGGGACCAAAAGGATTTGCTGCCTGCTGGATAAGAGGCAAGCTTGGCCCCTATGCGGCGCACATGGTCGAACTTGGCCCTGCGCAACACACTTTTGCACTTTTTGGTGGCCTTATTAAAAGCTTTCTTCAAATTTTGAGTACTCGGAGCTTTGCGTAATCGAGCATCTGCCGAAACTTGGTACGTGGACTGTTTACGTGCTTTACCACAACTACAATCAGCGTTAAACCATGGACGAGCTTGGGGTCCATTGGGTACATCAGAGTACGGTATGTAATACTCCATACCCAAACGCAAAACCTCGACTACAGCATCAGCACACCTCGACGAGTCTCCTGAAGTAAAGCACGCCTGCAAGGGGTATGACGCAAAGAAATGGCGCATTTCGTCCCAATCTGCTAACTTTTATCGCCACATCCGTCTCATACCACTAGGGCCCTGATCGGGTGGGGAGTAAATGGATACAGTTTTCACCAGACAATGGTCGGAAGTACCCAGTGGGGCCTCCACAATCACAGAGTAGCTGTCTGGACCAGTTGTTAACAGAAGATCCAAGCAATTAGCTGTATGAGATTCAACATCTGGGATCCTGGTGGTGCTGCTGACGAGCAGGGAAAGGCTTAGCGTTAACGCAAGTTTACGCGACTCTCTCCCAGCGTGATCGGTCATCTGGTATGGGAACAACCATTCTTGATGGCGAGCATAGAATTCCCCCAGAATGACTAGTTGCGCCACAGACACCTGAGTTGAGCCTCATCAGACGTCTTGCTCAGACATAACAGCTTGGTCATCTCCTGATCTCCACTGTGCGAGAGGTAGACACAGCAGTACACTATTTGTGTAACTCCTGTGCCAACCAGTAGCCATAAAACAGAAAAACTCGGTGCCTCAAGGTTCTTGAGACGCTTGACACAGATGTCATCGCGAACGTACACAGACTCCGGCACGAGGTATGAGCCTGTGCTCCAGAGTATACCCGGGGTAGCTGAGGTACGCTGCGTCAGTCGGACATCTAGTGAGGAACATTTAGTTATTCCTATGTCCAAGAATTATAAATTTGGGCCCACTTTGCGGCGATGGCATTGGATTTCTTTGCCTTGCCCGAGTTTGAAAGGCAAGGCGCCACGCATGCGCGCAAGTCTCTCCGCAACTAAAAGCGGAAGACTCGTTCTTTGCGCGGAAGGAAGATTTCTACGCCGTATACCCAGCCATCGCAAGCAAGCGAAAAACGCAAGTGACATACGCGTGAACCCAGAGGATGGAAAAATGAAGGAATCATATGAACTTTTTTCTTTTTTCTTGCGGAAAGGCAAAGGTGCACCGTGCAGCCTAGTCTTTAATATACTACCTATTTTTATATTTAGAAATATTTGTCATAAAAATTCGACATTTTGTAAAACACAACATTTACGTCAACAGTAAAATCCAAGTGAAAATGCATATCACACATTCAATACAATAATAAAGAAAAAATAAAAAAATGTAATAAATATAAGCAAACATGGGTCTACTCCGCATGCTGGTGGTCATATACATGGTCCTATATTTAACAATTTACTTTGGCTTAATAGCGGCCCTCGTCTACATACGGGCTAATATTACAAAGGAAAAGTACGTATTTACTGCAGCTACTAAAGAGACGGATAATAGGTTACAATGCATACTGTGACCGTTTTATAAATAAATGTATTTTCTGTAGGGTAAACCTACCCTGTTCTATCTCTACTATATGTTAGCATTCTTTCTCTCAGGCTAGCATCGCAAAAATTTGAAATCGAGAAAAGGGGAAGTATGATTATTCGATACGTGTGATGGGTGGCTTTACCCTACTTAATTTTAAAGTTTCCCAAAAAGGAAAATGAAGGCAAGTATGCAATTTATTCAACAGGCTGGGTTTATCACTGGTGCCAGAAACATGTACCGCGCACTGCGCGTGTGAAGAATGTCAAGTCGCCTCATGCCCAGGGCTGTGGAATCCTTAAGATAATATGTAGGGCCTGGAGAAAATTCTGGGTAACTTTATTTGTCGCGGTTTTAAACACTACTTCGTAAACATTTTAGCTTAAATACTTATCCATCCGATCGAACACTCTTAAATCGGTAAACGGCCGTGGCGTTGTCGCTGCGTGCACGCCGCGCTGTCGCATTGCTTTCAAATGGCCAGTGTGATAAGGCTCTTAGCAGCTTAGTTGCCATAGCATCTGCCACGGTTTGCTGAAAGGCGTTGGTTCGAATCCAGCGGATCAAAATAATTTTTTTCTTAGTATTCGATATTTGTATTCATAATTATAACAACCTAGTGCAGTCATTTAATATCACAAAAATAATTGAATATCATGGTGGTCCAACATTGTAACATCAATAAACTTTAAAATTACATATAATACAAGAATGTTTAAGTTCATAATGACCATTTTAATTGAATTCATACCAGGATTCAACTCCAATTGAATATATTTTACCAATAAAACTATTTTATACTTTTACAGTTGGGTCGACTACTTGCCGAAGAAATGAAAATCAAGTTTTTATCAAGACTTTTATTCCATAAAAAAAACTTGTAAAAATGTTGAACAGCGTGCGGAGTACGGACCCTATCCAGAAACATTGTGAAATGTCCAAGGTATCGTTTTGTACTGTCACAGTAACTTCTGCGCCGAAGTTAACCCAAATATAAGACGACAATAAAAAACTATGATGAAACATATTTCGTAACATAAGTTCAGAAACTAAATTTCCAAAAGATATCATAAATATCGAAACTGGTCAATCCAAAACAATCACGTGCAGAGATATATATATATATATATGAACTGTTGAAAGAAACCACAACCAAACCATACCAAACCATAGATAGTCAAGTGTGCTGTAAATTTTCACACCAAATGGAAAAATTTCAATTCGACGAAGCTCTGATTATCGAATGTAACTAACCTAGTTTCAGTGTACTGTGGAGTCTGTAAACAAGCTCATTTGATGCGTCAACTTTTTTCGACGAGCAAAAGATATCTATTACAAGTTTCCATAGAATGTTATTTATAGTAATCCGAATAAGATGAATTTGAATTTACATCACTATAATAAACTATATTTAACGGCTATATATTTTGTTTCTATACCCAAGACAACGGGCGGCAAACAAAATAAAAAGTCTGTTTCTTTAGATAATTATGTAACTATTTATTTGGATTTAAGATTTGGTATATTTGCAATCTGTGATTGAATATCATGTTTTCATTACCAATGATGACTTTAGTAGCGGTAGATCTCCTTGTGAGTTCGTCCAGAGAAGTACTGCCACCTTACTTATTTCTGCCGCCAATAAGTAATGGGACTTGTCTGCCTACGAATTTTTGTGATTAAATACACATTGGCGGTTATTTCGCGCAAACGCGAACTAAAATTCAATGCATGGTTCTTTAGGTATCAACAAGAAAAAAACAAATTTTTATTTAGAGTTGCCATACGTTTGTAGCGTATTACAAATCAAACCGATTTAAAAATATTAGATATTACAGAATACGTTCGCAATCGCCAGTACAAAGCGGACAAGACACTCAATTCACTGACAAAACCAGTTCTATATTAACATTAACTTGTGTCAATAAAGTTATTTACAAATTGAATTTTGTTAAAAAGTAATTCAGTTGCGTAATAAGGCTAAGAACTCGGGAGCTGTTTTCACAGCTTTTGTGGTAGTGGAACCGCGGTTTCCGTGGAATGTAGATGTGTATGTATTAGGAGAACATATCACGATGCGTTTTACGCCCGTGTCAGGGACGGTTGCTCGCGGTAGCCGCCGGATCTGCGGTTTACCGATATCTCGATCGATCGTAAAGCCGAGCACACATTAGCGAGCCTTAACAGTAACGTGACCGATACAGTAACGAGGTTCTAGTGTGTACGCGTGAAACAGTCTTCAGTCACTAGAATGAGTACCTGGTTATCGGCGGCTCCTGGTTTTTTGTAACATAACATACAACGGTTACCGTTACAACTCTCCAGTGAGAACCCTGCTTAAGTACCCGCGCGACTTGTGATTGAAGTTTGTGGTCTATTCTACAATCGCAGCGGCTACGTGAACACGCAAGCCTGCGGTGTCGTATTTAAATATAACTGCTGGACACGGGTGAAAACCGCTTCGTGAGTTCTTAGCCTTTGGCGCTTCTTATAACTGATCGCTATTCTGCCTCAGAGACAAATTCTGTGACTTTAGTTGAAGGCGCTCGAAATTACGTTAATGAATTTCAAGTAGTGTGGAATCAATAGTGCCAATGTGTTTGGATACAATACAGCTCCTCGATCTATAGTATGTCAACGAGTTAACTAAACAAAATACGTTAAAATTATATGAGATTCACTGAGTTGTCATTAATTGCATACTGCAATATCTTAGAGCCTACACACACGGTGTATTAATTATGCGCTGTAGTCGCGCATATGTATTGCGCATTTTGATAAGAGATAGCTTTAATTTTAGTTTTGTTTGTTAATTTTTAAAATGAAGGAACTACATGAAATTCTAAGTGTAAATTCCAGTTGAGTATATAAGCTTCTTGCTTGCAACGCGATGTTTACGTGCATTTGAATCGATTCATTACAGCGCGTCGTCACCGCTTAAAAATACGCCGTATGCATAGACTCTTACGTTATAAACAATTTGTATAAATACACATGTAAAGGTACCTATAAATTTTCTTGTATCAACTTAAACTCGGGTCTCTTAAAATTCCGCACGAAAGCTACCTTATCCTGTAAATTAACTATTTGTAATTGAATACATATAATCTATAAAGTATAATCAGTCTATCTATGGACGGCCTTAGTCAAAAATTTATTGCTAAGAATAATTCATTAAAAAATGCATGTAAAATAAAAAAAAGAAAATAAAGAGAAACAGAAAAATAGAGATCAAATTAAATTAAAAGATTTATAAAAAAAAAAATTGACAACTGTTTGTGTAAAAGAGATTCAATATCGAAAAATACAGTAAGTTGAATATAAATTCTTAAAATACAAATGCAAATTATAAAAATATCTTATTCACTACATAGCTGTCTTAATGACTGTTGTATAAATATTCAGTGGCAAAGAGTTCGTATAGTACCTGTCCTCACTGACTGCTGTCAAATGTGAAAGTTCAAAATTTTATGAAGTTGACATTGACAGGACATTGGCGAAATCGCCATTTTTTTTGTATAATTTTTAAAATAATACTAAACTTTGTACATAGTTATTTTTACTTGACATTGGCAAAATCATTGATTATTTCGATGGGGCCATAACATTTAAAAGAAGTTATTTAATTTTTTATTATTCAAGTTATTTATGTTATTTAAGTAAGTTATTTAAGAATTATTTTGACTTAAAGATTATTTTTATAAATTTAAAATAAAATTTAAGTTCTTAAATACGGTTGCAGCCGAGACGGAGCCATAGGGTTCGGAAGCTCGGGGCTTATTTAAAGACTTTGGTTGCCTCAGACATACAGGGCTGCAATCATGGCTTGTGATTGATGCCGGGTGTCCAGCCGTATTACTGTCAGTATAATGGGATCTTTCAAACCAGTCACGATACAGGACGAGATTTTTGAAATAGAGACAACACCCTCTTAAATATACAAACACAGAGAAAGATGTGACAAGCTAAACAAAAATTTCCGACTGTTAGGGCGCCTTCAAATTAGCCGCTTATAGAAGCGCAGCAGTGACGTCAGTGACGTCACTTTGGCGCTGGAGTCGTGCCACTTCCAATTTTCATACACTATTTAGGAGCGCAGTTGAGCGCAAAAAAATTGTAAATAAAGAAGCAGTAAACAGTAAATATTACAGTAAAGTAAATTATCGTGAGAATAATGATGGCGTTTACAAATGACACTAGTTATTTATTTTACAAAATGTTTCCGTTTAATGTTTGTAAACTGTTGTTTTAGGTTTTTTTATAGTGTAAGTCTTCAAAATAGATTAAGTATGTAAAATGAAAAATTTCATTTATATAACTTAATAATTACATAAAGGTTGTAATTACGTTTGAGAATTACCGTGAAACTAGTCACGGTATTTATTAAATTACTTTGCTTAGAATATGACTGATTACATGGCGCATGATAAAACACCCAACATTACCTTCTGTCGAATGCTAAAAAAACGAAATATAGTGAACTAAAAATTACTAAAGCGTTACAGACACACGGCTACCGCGCCACAAAACAGTAAATACTAGTAGTGCTTAGTTAGCATCGAACGCGTTACCACAGTAAGGACAGTTGTCCATACTTGAACTCAGTCCGCCATTTTTGCTTTGTACATAAAATGCTTTATTATGCTGTTTTGGAATTCAAACCGTGGTGGTGGTATTTCATATCATTGGGAAGTCTTAATTTAATAAATTTTCCAATTTCTGTTTATCGAATGGAATTTTTGTACTGTAACAAACGAAAGTAAATATTATCCCAATGCAATATGGATGAGTTTTATTTTTTGAAGCACTAAGTAAACGTCTCGAATTTTCCACGCTAGTAGCGAAAAAAATGCTTCATGAGTGTTTTATTAATTTAAACTTAATTGATCCAAATAAAGTTCATTGTGCAACGTGTGCGTTAAAGAAGACATCTGTTGTCGAGAAGATACTACTTTCTATTCGTTCAGATATCAATTGTTCGTCATAGTCCAGCTACTGGTCGCAAGATGGCACCTTAGAAAAGGTACTGTGACTTTAAACGATATAACGACTGGGTAAAGTTTAAATTATATTAACCGTCTAGAATGTGTTACATCTTTTTTAAATTAGAAACTATAAACCAATCATTATCAAGTTTTCACAGTGTTTATCATTTGTTTGTGTGCGTTTTGGCAACAGTGGTTGTGATAGTAATCGAGGCTTAAAGCATTTCCATTTTTTTTGTGTTCCGTGACCGTGCCAGTCGCGCCACTGCTGCGCTTCTATAAGCGTCTAATTTGCAGGCGCCCTAACTGTCGGAACTTTTTGTTTAACATGTCATATCTTTCTCTTCATTTATTTAAGAGAGAGTTGTCTCTATTAAATAAATCCTGCCCGGTATCGGCATATTTAATCAATTTATTAACTACGTTAGTAGTAGATTTCATCGGAAAATATCATACATTGCAGAATTTGCTGTGTACCTTATTCAAAAACCCTTCGCCACTGCTACATGCAATTACAAACACTTTCATGTATTGCTAATTACATCAAGGCACTACGTTTTATAATTACATACATATATAAACAGGGTCTAAAAAACAAAATGGTCCCACGTGATATAGCTATGACTGTTTATGCCTACAACTTGTAATAACAATGAAAACTAGTTGGACAAAATACATAATGCCCCAATCAAGTTGACAATTTATAACCGAAAATTTTAAAGTAATTTGGAAAATCATGTTAAGAAAAATCATTAAGAAAATAGATGCGTCCTGTCATAATCGAAAAAGAATTATATATAGCCTGCCTTATTTTCCATAACATTTATATTATACTCCGTCTTGTTTGAAGACAGAGTAAAATGACATTTGCAGGGTTACCAGTTTTCATAAAATTTTAAATAGTCATGTAGTTATTGTCGACAGTTTTATCGATAGATTGTGATAGAAGTGAAATTTTGCCAAAAATGCCTGAACTGTGAATATTTAAAGTAAATTTTTATTCATATTCATTTTAATAAGAAACGGCGAATTTATTATCTATATTAAATTAAAGGGCAAAACTTCAGAATGTCTCCTCTTTGTATTTTTAACAGACACAGTTCTAAATGCAGTGTATGTAAGTATGAACTTACAAAAATTAACAATTCAAACGAACCTGTGTTCAGCAGTCGGACGAATAACGGACCGCTGATGATTTGAATGAAATAAGTTTGGCTATTTATTGCACAAGCGTGACCAACGTTTAGTAGATAGTCGATAGAAGATAGCTGTCATTGTCATCGGACTCCGTCGGCGAAAAAGACAGGCGCGATCCCGTTCACCTGAGCTTCAACACGCAAGCCAGCAGCGCCAGCGCGAGCAGCAGGCTGCTCTGCGCCGCGGCGGCGCCGGCCAGGCGGCACTTGAACATGTCTATGCGCGTCGCCTTGT